ATAGATTGTTACAAAATTAAAGACGGTTTAAAAATTTTCTTATGTTATTAGAAATCTTTCTATTTTGTAAGTACAATTTTGTTTTTCTACAGAATACAATTTTGTGGGTGAATTTAATAATTCATTTTTAAATGCAGACAACTTAAAAACCGATCAAACCACCCTCACACAATAAATTTTATATACATAATAACTAATTTCAAAAGAAAAAGAAATCAATAAATGTTTAAATTAACTTTTATCACAAACAATATAATTCCAAAACTAGTATGAAATTAAAAATCAATATCTTCCCGAATTTCAAACTAATATCACTAATATCAGCATAATCACTAACACCAAATTTCAATTTAAAAAAAGAACAATAAATTTCCAAACTACTTTGCATACTTAACAATCCATTTCCATTCCAAATTTAAAACAAAATACTATCTTTTCACAAACATCAAACTACCCTCAAGATCTCCTCAAAATAACCCAAAAAATATCAACAAAACCCCTTATCTCATTCTGAAAACACACGCAGTGAGTCACTCACTGCTGGAAATCTATCAAACCATCTCATACCAACCAAAAAAAAAAAAAAGTGAGACGAAAGAGAATAGACGTGTCTCAAAAAATACCTACGTCTCGTGGTCTGATGTTTAATCCAGAAGGAACGACGGGACAAAAATTAACATTGTCCCTTGGAGGGTCGTTAAATTCACCGGCGTATTCTGTCGACGACAGTCCGTAGCTATCTGCGCTAAGGCCCTCGTCGTTTTAAGGACTAACGAGTGGCTGCGCTTTCTGAAAGTTTCTCCTGACACCGCCCGTCTCTACCAGCGAATCCTTTGCACCGTGATCACGCACGTGTACAGGGTGATTCGCGGATCGGTATCAAGCGATATTTTTCTTTCGGTTGAAGATAGAAATATTGCTAGAGGAAGATGATTGGTTTCTAAAAAGCTAGTAGAAACACATAGTCGAAAAATGAATATTTAACGAGATATTTCGGGAAATTTTCTTTATCGGAGTAGGTGGTAGCATGACCCAGAGCTATAGATCAAGAACCTGTTGTTCCGTCGTGGAACAAGGAAAACCCGTTACGATCTTCCAACAGCCAGGTCTTAGGGTCGAACAATTCGGCATCGGAATTTCCCGCTCCATGCCTTCAGCATGTTTGACTGCTTTACCTTTTTTCTTTGACTTCTCGTGTCGCGGAACACGAGAATCCTGGAAATCCCTAATTTAACGAAATTAGGCGACGGCTCTTAAGACTTGGCTGACAATAGGCCTGAGGGCTCCACGTGGTCCGCACACGTTGGAAGCCTCAGGCCCTCGCTAGGGGTAACAAACGACCGATGGGGTCACCAGCGCGCGGGTGGACCCCAGGTACCCCACCTTGGAGGAGAGGGTTTCCTCCACTGTCGTTGTTTTTTGGGGGAACCTTCCCTTACTCCAAGGTCACGGATTCGCGAACCAAGAGAACGCCCTTGGTCAAAAACAGCCAATCATATTTGGCGAGCTCCCGATTTTTCCTAAGGCCGATCTTAGGAAGACCGAGGAGCTCACTTCCGCACGAGCTCTGAGAGACACCGGTTCTCTCTAAAACAGTTCGGTTCGAGACCTCAGAGACACGGTTCTCTTCAAAAGCTCCGTCTAACCGATTCAAATCAACAACACGCCACGTTCTTTTCGAAACGTCGAACGTCGTAGACACGACTCTTTTCCGCTCGTGCAACTTAAACAGTTGCCCAATATTAATTTGGCGGACAACACGTATCGTAGTCGCGAGACGGCCTTACAACCCGTCGGAAATAAAAGAATTTCGATCGCAACGCGACGCGACACCTGTTGTAAATCTGCTGGCTGAACAGCCCCGGACAAAGTGTTCAAAGTATCCCGTTAAAGGGTTTTCTACTATCTGTGGTCAAAAATATCGATCTTTTCTCTTTTCTCTTCTTAAAGTACGCGTTTTCAGGAATACTCTCTGTAAATTTTAAATTCCAACTATTACGAATAACGGAGTTATAGTTATTTCAATTGTTATGTTACATTAAACGCATATTTATCGAAACTGTATTTTTCAAATAAATAACCGCGATTTTTCAAAAAGTGTTATGCAGATCAGCGCAAAATTTGGCACAAATGTTCAGTATATTCGTGCCTATGGCCCCTATTAGAATTATCAAAAAATTCTTATTCTTTCTATCCTTTTCATACTCGTATATTTAAAAAGAAAGCGAATATGTCGATAAGGTAGATTCCGAGTGCCGCCATTTTTTATTTACCGATATTTTTGGTTTTTTTTAGTACCAGTCGTAGCTATACTAATACTTAACAGAAATTCTATTAAATTTTTGTATCTCAGATAATAGGAAGAGCTTGAATTACGGACACCGTCAATAATGGATTTTTAAGAGGCTCTTCAGACGACGGTTCGTAACACCGTCAATTTTCAATCTTTCTTAACAAAAAATGCAACGCTTGTAGTCCAAGCCTATACAATGAAACCTTATTAATTTCAAAACGCGAAGTCTTAATGATACGTTGCAATAATTTTTCAAAGATATTCGAAAAATCATGTAAAATAGTAGAAAATCCACTTAAGTATACATTTTTCGACTATGTATGTCTAATACTTTTTCACGTAGAATGAAGAGAGGAATCGATATGTGTAAAGAAAAATATAGGTATATGTTTAAAAAAATATTATTCGGCTTTATATCATCACTACGCCTTCGTCTACGTGAAAACTATTTATACGAGCTTGGTGGCCTTTCGAAACCATTAATTTCATCCTATTAACATTTTTCTCTATCTCTAACCAAAATAGAATTATCGATACCTTTGTGGGAGTCACCCTGTATACGCACGCGAAGAATTTTCGATGGAAATTGGTTCGTGCGGTTAAAGAAATCGCGGCGATCGCTGGACTGTCCACTGGATCGAAGCAAACGATCGAGGGTAATTTAATTGACGTTAAAACGTATTCGGGTAATTTATGCAGCCGCGATATCATGCTGGCTACATAACGTCGGGACAATAATGCTTTGTCTCATTATGTCCGGCGAAATGTCGACTTAAATCATTAGGAACATCGTATGGGTATATTGGTATATTAATTAGCTAATATCGAGGCCGATTGTTATTATGTTAATGGGAAGGTATTACGTAATTATCAAATCTCGCTACGATGGATTACTTAGGAGCGAATCGAATGACGTGATTAAATTGCGAAAGCTGGAGTGATGATTCGAGACTATTGTGTAGGCTTGGAGTATGAGGTTTCTATGGGGAAGCTTTAATAGTGTGACTTCACGATGGAATATATTACAGGCATAATTTCTGAATCTGTGTATTTTATAATCGAATTTGTAAAATATTTTTAATTTTTTGAATTTGTTTAAATTATTTTTAATTTGTAGAATATGAATAGATTAATTTGTAGAAATAATTTGTAGAATTAATTTGTACAATAGAATATATTATAATTTTTGCATTCGTATTTATATATTTTGTATTTACATTTTATATTCGTATTTGCAATTTAATTAAATTAAATCAAAAAGGAGAGAAAAGAATATGATAATAAAACACAGCAAATACATTTAATAATCCAACTCACACATTCACATGGTCAGATTTAAAAACATGTCAAAAATAGAAAGAAAAATGCTATGGGGGAGTTTTAATAGTGTGGCTTCTCGATGAAATATAATACATTACAGACAATTTCTGTAGCTGTGTATTTTATAATCAAATTTGTGGAATATTTTAAATTTTTGTATTCATATTTATGTATTTTGAATTTACATTTTATATTCGTATTTGCAATTTAATTAAATTAAATCAAAAAGGAGAGAAAAGAATATAATAATAAAACACACCAAATACATTCAATAATCCAACTCACACATTCACATGGTCAGATTTGAAAACATGTCAAAAATAGAAAGAAAAATGCTATGAGATTTCTATGGGGGAGCTTTAATAATGTAGCTTTTCGATGAAATATAATACATTACAGACATAATTTCTGTACCTCTGTATTTTATAATCAAATTTGTAGAATATTTTAAATTTTTGTATTCATATTTATGTATTTTGTATTTACATTTTATACTCATCTTTGCAATTTAATTAAATTAAATCAAAAAGGAGAGAAAAGAATATAATAAAAAGACACAGTAAATACATTCAATAATCCAACTCACACATTCACATGGTCAGATTTAAAAACATGTCAAAAATAGAAAGAAAAATACTATGAGGTTTCTATGGGGGATCTTTAATAGTGTGGTTTCTCGATGAAATATATTACAGGCATAATTTCTGTGTCTGTGTATTTTACAATCAAATTTGTAGAACATTTTAAATTTTTGCATTGATATTTATATATTTTGAATTTACATTTTATATTCGTATTTGCAATTTAACCTCTTAGGCACAATGCACCACTATAGTGGCTTCCGTGGATGTAATTTTTCCGAATAACACGCCACTGTAGTGGCTTATTCCAAAGCTCAATTGTCCACCGTTTCAATTAAATGTTCGTTTTCATTTGTCTTGTGTCACACCTTTTTCGCCTTCACAACGTTTCATAACAGTGTTAACAATATACAAACAGAATACAGTCTTTGTTTCTATTATACCAGAGATAGCTATGGAGTGCTATATCATTTATGCGTAATTCGCGTTGAACTCTGTTATGGAGAAAATTCAGCCAAGTCTAAGAGGTTAATTAAATTAAATCCAAAAAAGAAAGAATATAATTAAAAAACACAACAAATACATTCAATAATGCAACTCTCTCGTGGTCAGATTTGAGAACATGTGAAAAATAGAAAGAAAGAGGCTATTCTTCTGCACATCCATCCAAAGATAACCTAATTTCTGCCCCTTGAGCCCCCATTCCTGC